CAGCGATGACCCACGCACCGGTCATCGAAAGCGTCTCGGTCGGTGGTCTCGGTGGAGCGCTCGCTGGTGGGGCGAAGGCGAAGACGGTGTCGGTTCTTGAAGACCGAAGGATGCCTGCCCTGGTTGCTGGGCTGGATGTTCGCCAGGCATTCAGTTCTTCTATGTTCTTCTCATGGCGAAGTATTTTTGAATTTATTGTCATTCATATATTTTCATTCTTTTCATTTGTTTCTTGGTTTGGCGGAGAACCAGCTAGGCTCGTTTCGTTTAGCATCAACTTGGGTGGTGCTAGATCGTTTGTTTGCCAATTTATAACTGGAACTCGATTTAGTGGGTGTGTAGGCATGAATCACTGATCCTGATGGACTTTTCAAGCGTTACTTGTGTGTCCTTTTATATCCTTTATGCATTTTTTTGTTTCATGTTGTTGATAATTATATAAAGCATATTTCTTTCTGCGTATGTCCGGCACCTGGCCAACGGCCTGGAGTTCCAAGTCTATCTCCTTCTCAAGGTTTGTTCCCTGCCGTGGAACATTTTTGGTTTGTTATCTCATCGAAGCTCTCCCGTGGGAAGCCGATGAATTGGATATCTTCGGTGAGCTTCGGTGGTGCTTTTCCAGGCTTGGAGGGTTTCTGACCTTCAGCTACGTTGCATAGGAGGTTTTTGAAGGCCCAAGGCGATGTAGAATACATCGGCTGGTCTCGTCAAATATGTATATGCGACATGCGACGATGGCAAAAGAGCTTTCTGGAGCCTTTCCGCAGGCCCCTGCGGTAGCCGTATTTTTTCCCCTGGCCCTGGAACATGCCCAGACACCATAGAGACACGACTGGGGTTTTATGGTTTGGCGACAATAGCTCTATGGCGGGTGAAGATGGTTCAGATTCACCTTTTTTCTTGGGTCATCAGCCGGTCAGGGTTCTAGGGACACATAGCAAGGTTCCTTCCCTGGCGATTCCCTGCTTGCTCAAAAGTGCTGACTGATACTGGCAGCAAGTGAAGCTGCTTGGGCCGGCGTAGATAGATGAATCCCTAACAGGAATTCTCTGGGATTTTATCCTGGGCGAATTTCGACAACGTGAACGGGGAGCTTGATATCGACCGTCTATGTTGCTCATTGGGATCCTTGATTTATTGTAGAAAACGGTAGGTACTTGGCTTAGACACGGATTCACGTGGATCGCTCAAAGTGGGCCAAGAGATGCCCAAAGATCGTGCCCGCTTTGCGCATTCCCCCACCTGGTGCGGCGGAGAACTGGACGCCTGCTTGGCATGGGTAGATCCACCGTTCGGCGTCCAAGCCAGATTGACTGGCAGCCCAGGCAATACCCGCTGTTGCTGAAACCAAATGCAGGCCAGCCGGGTGCTACATGTGGCTGCAGATGTGATCATAGGTGCTTTGCTTGTATGCTGGGATAATTTGTCTTTTGAACAATCCGGCGCTTTGGCAAGAGAGACAACACTCCTCTGTCAAGTCATTGGATGCTGATCAAGAAGCACTCCTCCTTTCAACGGAGCCTTTCTGTTGACTCATGCTGTGGATCCTGGTCTCATAATATGGTCGCATGTTCTCACTCTCATCATCCGTGGAGAATCACATTCTTGACATGACATGACACGACACATCCCGTTCACAATCTGAACCCAAGCTGGCCAGCTGTTTTCTTCAACTTAATCTATGCCAGGTGGCTTTGGACAGGGAATTCTCAGCTTTTCCTCCACAGAGGAACTCGAATCCTCGAACTTGGTCTTCGGTGAGGCAGGGTTGGAGGATTTCTCTGTTCTGCTTCGCGAAGGACGAAAGAGCGCATCTGGTTAGAAAAATGGACCCTGCTGGTGCCCGCCTTGCTCTCTATGATCAAACTGTTCTGCTTCGATTTGGACACCTACTTGTCATAATCATCGACACCTCGTGCCCTTCCAGTGGTGTTTTTGTTCGAACTGTTCGAACTGTCAATCCATGGTTGATTGGATCACCTTTACCTTTTGTTTTATACCAATTGACTTGCCCACCAAATCCACTTCTGGAGTTGATTTGTGCCGAGCTCGGCTCCGGATGGGTCCGGACGGCCGAGCGGCTCGGTCGAGCTGGTCAGGATGGCCTGGCACTTCTACAGGAGCAGCAACAGTCGCGTGGCAGCTTCGGAACGCGCCGGCGCAGGAGAAGAGGATGGGGGAGAGGACAAAGCTAAGGTCCGAGAATGCCTGATGATCCATTCTTTGGGACTTTGCAAGGTATGATCATCCAGAAAGCTGTGTTCACCTTGGATCCCCTTCTTCGTGGCAGCTGCACGGGCGGCTTGCTGCGCCTACTGCTGCGCCACCCAGGTCGCAGCGTGTGGGGCGAATCTGGATGTTGGGCGGCAAGGTGCGTCCGCAGCATCCATTGGAGACCAATGGGCTTTGTGGGCTTTGTGAGCAAGCATTCCAGGGAGAGTAGACCTGGGCTAGTGGGCTTTCTGCGAAAGAGATGAAAGGATCAAATTGCAGTCCTACCAACACAGTAAACAAAATGTAAACAATACATTGTGATGACTGTACGACTGTACAACGTCAAAAGAATAAACACCGGATGGCTCGGGACTGTGAATCCATGAAGAAGATCTTGCAGCGCTGTGTGGATGTGCGAGCCCTACTCCATTTTCATCAATTTTCCGTTGTTTCGCAATGTTTGCAACCTCATAGCGTCAAGCACCAGACTCCATGCAGGTGCTTTGCGCGGTGCTCGCGCCGATGATGGACTTTGGTTCAGACACTTGGTGTCAGGGTATATATCAGGTATCAGGGGATGGGATATGTCCGAAAGATTGTTTTTCTCTCCAGCAAGAGGCTTCCACATTGTGTGAACACATTCCCCATCACGCAAAGCGGTGTCCCTCGACTCTGTATCGCTGCAGATGGACGGTAGGACAAACTCAACGTCCAAAACACATGGGCGACCTTTTCGGGTCTTTGTGAATCTTTGCGATGACAATGCCATGTGCCTTTTCTATTTGTCACTATGCATTTGTCTATGAATTGATCCTATTTGCATCGCCCTACTCCACACTCTTCCACCTACTCTTCAGGGTGGCCCGTCTGGGTGCATGGCAGACGGGCGGGCCGCTGTGGCTGCCACTGCGTGGCGTGTGCCAAAGGGTCCATTGGACGCAGTGTCAGGTTTGCGGCTTTGGGTCCGTAAGCATAGCGCACTCGGCTTTTCCTACGGTAGCAGATCCAGACCTTGGCAAGACCTGGAGGTCATCGAATCATTCAGCATCGCGCCGCGCCTACCGGGGCAGTACGTATCTCTTGGAGATGTTTGGGAGCAAAACCAAGCAGCTCCCTTCGGTTGAGGGACTGCACCCTAAATCGCTTTCGATAGTGAAGTATATAGTCTGCAGATCTTTGCAGTAGATACATAGAAAAACAACATGATATTCTTTGTATGGTTTTCTGAAAGCACGTGAAGACAACGACGCGTTCCACGCGACGGGGTTTTCGTGGGAAAAACATGCTGCACCGAGACCTCGAACGACATGCTGAGCGGATCCTCTCTGCTGCTCAGGCGATCGCGGGCGCGGCGGTTCTCGGCGTGGGGTTTGGTGGAACAGCATCAGACGATCATTGTGTACAGATGGGAGAGTTGCGAGGGGACTGATGAGTACACCGATGAGTCCAGAGAGTCTATGTTCAAAAATCTTTGGTTTGAATCCCTGGAAGGGTACATATTTTTTGGCTCTGGAAATGTCAGGCAAACGAATGAAAAGCAGCCAGTCCTGGATTGCCAGTCTGAAAACTCTGGATCTACTCATCTGGGCACGTCCTTTTTCACAAGAAAGACGGGCCAGGAAGAACCCCAGAGTCAGCTATGGGTCAGTGTCACTAGTTGTTGGGATATTTCCCCAGGTGCAGTGGGCGCTGCTGCCAGATGTGTGGCCGTGTGCGCTTTGGAGCTTGGGT